TGATATTGTAGTCTTCCAGGTTTGTTGTCCCTGTTGTAATTTTTGATGGATGTTTGTGTATCATGAATTCTAATCAGTTTATATTTTCTAATATATGTTGATTTGTAATTGTTATTAAGTTGCAGTCAAGTATTCTCCAGTTGAGAATGTATTTGGTTCTGGTTATATTTTTGTATGTTGTTTCATTTTTAAGTTCATTTTTGTTTGTCATGTCTTTGAACTGTAAAGTTTATAATGAAGTCAGTATCTAGATCTGCTGCTTCTTTGACCAGTTGATCTGTTTTATTATTGTTCAGGTCTTGATTATAGGCTTTGATTTTTTTTCCTATGTATTGAATATGTTATAAGTTAATTATGTATATTATGAAGTTGATAAGATTGCTGTTTTTAAGTGTTCTTATTTTTATATAATCTTTTTGTATTTTTCTATAGCATTTAGTGCTACCTGGCTATTACTATGTATTATCGCCTTGCTTCATATTAAAACTATAATAAGAAAAGAGACTATTGTAACTAGTTTTACTCTTGTGGATGATAGGAATTTTTTAATTCTTCCTTGAAAGTTGATCTCTAGTATTTGTGAAATGTGCCATCTGAATTCCATTCTTTTGTCTTTGTTTAAGAATCCATTGGTAGATACTATAATTGTTTTGAGATTTCTGATTTTGTGTCTAATTTTTGCTAGTTTTTCAATCATGTCTGTTAATATGTTTATGATTTTTTTAATTATTTGTTTGTTAATATGGAGTATATTTTGTGTTATTTGTGGTGACTTAGGAAGGTTGTAATGTAAGAAGATCTTATAATGTATTGTTTGTAGGCTTGGTATTGTGATGTGACTTCTGTGCATTGTTGTTTCATTTGTTTTATGTTTGGATCTCTTTCTGCTCTTGTATATCAGAATGTTTATTAAGCTGCAAAGATCTATGATGAATATGCATTCTTCTGGTTTTCCTTGAATATCTAGAATGCATTCTTGACATTTTTGCAAAGGGAACTGTTTGTTAATTTTTGTATAATATTGTAGCTTGGCTGTATTGCCTATTACTGCTTTTTTTCTTCTGATTATATTGTGTTTATTTGTTTTGTTTGCAATTCCTTTTATCTTATTTCTTGATGTTTCTATTGAAAGTTGTATTTTTGAATAGTTGAAAGTTTGACTTGTTGCTCTTTGTTTGATAAGTTCATAAATTTGGAATTGGTCTGCAGTTATTTGTACCATATGGGTTTTTTCTAGTTTTGTTTTTTATTAGGATAATTAATTTTTATCTATTGTTGACGTCTCTCTTGATGAGTCTGTTATTTCTCCTAAGCACTTATCGTGTAATGTCTGGTAAGTGTTTGGCTTCTTGACTTGAGGCATGTGAGTTGTTTAGCCAAGTTCTACTAATGCTTTCCTTCTCTTTCCATTGTTCGCTTCTCTTGATGAATCTTTACCACTTTTTCCTTTGTGATCTCAGCCATCCTATCTCGTAACAAGTACTGGATTAGGTAAGTTAATTAGTTTTACTTGGTTTGGTAATGATAAACACACATTCTAATTAAGAAGGTTTTAATTTAGGGAACGGTTTTTCTTATTATTCGTACTGCATACTATGTGACTCTCTTTATCCTTTTTTCAGTTTCTCCTTTTTATCTTATTTTGTATACCCTTGCTAAGCTACAATTATGCCATGCGATCCCTCTTAAGCTTTGATAGACTATTTGTAATCAATAAGCTTTTTTTAAGGTTATGGCTAATTTAAGCTTCCTAAAATTACATCATTACTTTTACATATTGCTATAGACTATAGGTTCCAGATTATTATAAATCAGGATATGTGATGTGCCAGAATGTGTTTGTGCAGTCACACCCCATATCAGTTCTTCACCAACACTATGTTACTAATTTAATGCCTGCAAAATTAGCAATTTGATTAAAAAATATTATTTGATTCTTTGCAAGTTGTTTTTTGTATTTGTTATACTATGTTGGTTTTATGATTTCTTCAATTGTTGTGTCAGTCTTTTTGATGATTTCAATTATATTTGTAGTTCCAGTAAAGTCATGTTGTCTGAGTAAAAAAATTTTGTCATATGTCAGATCCTTTTCTAAAGGTGTGAGTAGTATCTTAAAATTGGTGCTAGTGATTACTTTTGTTAACCAGTAGGTGTTTTGTGCTTCTTGCAGTTTATACTTGCTATCTGTTCTATAATATTATTTCTGTTAATCAGCTTTTGCCAGTTGTTTACATGTAAAAGAATCTATCAATTTCAAATGTAGAAGAAGCCATATTCTAAGGGGTTGTAGAGAATTGTATTGGGGGCTGTTTGCACTATGTTTAGTTTATGCTTATATGTTTTGTTAAGGTGGTTCATTATATTGTTGCAGATTTTTTCTAAAAGAATAAGATTTGATAGTAGATATGTTATTGATGAAATCCATACTTGATTGTAAAGATATTTTAATTGTTTGTCTGTGATTGTTTTCTATTTGATAGTATTTGTGAACTTGATAATTTTTTCCTGAATCAAATACTTCTAAAATGTTTTTGTGCCTGAGCCTTCCATATAGATTTTCAAGATTTTTGTTACCTGGTTTGGGTGTAGGATTGTAATTTCCTAGTTTTGGATTGTTATGTGATCTGTTGTATAGTTTTTCCTGTTTAGGATAATTAGGCTTGATTTGAATCTATTGATGTATATGTCATTACAATTAAAGAATTCTTTACATATGTCACAGAGCTTTTGTAATGTTTCTTTGTCTTGTATAATTAATGTTGTATCATCCATAAAGGCTGTACATAAGATGTTTTGGACTTTTGTTTTTAGTGATTGTTGCGGATCTGACCAATAGTTGGCTGTAAGTATGTACTCTTGTGTTTTGGTTGCTATGTATATAATGAGAAAATTATAGAAAATTCTTCATAAAAGTAGGGAAATTGTGTCTCCTTGATCAATACTATCTTCTACTGTGTATAATAGCATTGGGTCGAAAGATGTAAGGACTTGGTTTTGTCTGTTGTCACATATGTTTATAAGAATTTTGTTGATTTTTTCTGAATATTTGATTGTTGTAGTGACTGTATAAGTCTCCGAATATTTAATGAGTCATATAATTTAGCCATGTCCAGGCTTAGAATTTATGCTTGTTTGTTGTTTTGATATGTGTTGTCTTGTACTGTTTTGAGAATTTGAATTAATTCTTGTGTATTGTAACTAGAAAGAGCTGCCCAGTTGTGTGATAAGATTATATCATGTTAAGTTAGTATCTGTGTTAGTCTGTTTGTTATAATTTTTGTAAAGACTTTTTGGATTGTTTTTAGGAGCATAATTAGTCTTGTAATATTAATATTATTCTCTCACAGTTTTGTTTTGGATATAAGATATATGTTACATATTTTTTATTTATGTGGAAAGTTTCCTTGACATAGTATGTCATTGAACAGTTCCATGAGATATTAGAGAGTTTCTTTCCTTGGTTTCTTGAGATCTATGTAAGAAATACCTGTAAGACCTGATGCCATTTTTGAGAATTGGTTTTTGAAGGTCTGCTGAATTTCTTCTGTAAAAATTGACTGTATGGTATTGTTGTACCAGTCTGTATATATGTGTTTTATTGGTTTGTATTCTTTTCTTCATTTCATATTGTCTATTAATTATATATTGTGTTTTTTTATCCATTGCTCAAAATATGTTCTGACTATACTTTTTATTGTATTGAGGTCATTGATTACTTGCTTCTCTTGCTTGTATACAATAATTTTATTGAGTTGAATAGTTCTCTTGAAATAATCTAGAGGATTCTGTATCATTTGTTTTTTGTTTGTATGGAAGTAGCTGTTTCTGTTTTGTATTTATTCTCTGATAGTTTCTAAGTATTGGTTACTGTAAATTATACATGTGGTATAAATTATTTGCTGTTAACTCAATTCTCAAAATCCTCAAAAATAATTGTGTCATGACTTAATTATTTATATGTTTAATAGTAACTCAATTAATTGCGTCAAATAATTGCATCAATTGCATCAAGGATCTATGAATTTCAGCAACATGTATACTGTAAATTGATTTGAAAACTTGTTTGTGATTAATAAGATATGTATTAAATATGGGTTTCCAATTTTGAAGTGTCTTCTTGTTTTGTATATCTATTGGCAGATTAATTGTGAAGTTTTGTTTATTTGAGAGTTGATTAAATATTTTTTTTGTTTTAAAAAAGAAGATCTCTTGTGTAATGTCTTGACTTTTCTATTTGTTGACAAGATTTATAAGTTTGGATATTTTTCTAACTAAAAATGGTAACAGTTTGAATAGTTTAATTTTTTTTCTTTGAATTTTCTATATGGTGTTAGCAGAGAAATTGCTTCAGTAAGACCTGGCGATATAACGTTTGTGTAACACGCCTAATCAGAGTAATGGAAATGCTTTAGAAATAGACTTATAATTTAATGAAAAATTTAGATAGTTTATTTTATAGTCTGATAGTTTATGAGTCATAAAGTTATAGTCCTATAGCAGATGGTCATAGGAATATAAATAAGAGAGCGAGGATAAAAAAGAAGACAATAACAATAAAAAAATCAATCAATAAAAAAATAAAAAATCAACAAAAAGAAACTTAATGAAAAAATAATAAACGTAATTACCATTCTTGTAGAAGCGCGAAACAGTTGTGCGTGTGTTAATTACAGTTACTATAAGTGGTGGTGTGATAGACGCACCTAAAAAGGAAGTTGACAATTAACCCCCCTTTTAGAGTAATGTCGCCATGAGAGGATTGTTCTGGTAGTCACTAAAAGGGATAGTGACTCGAACAATCGATGAAGGGTGACAAAAGAAAGAAGAAGGTTAATTATAGGTTCAAGATCAGCTAAGTCAAATCTATGTCTCAAATAGAGAAAAGGAGAACAATCTACCCTGACGTTATGCGAGTTTGACCTGCCCCAAGTGACAGATTCGCCGTTTCACCATCAACAATGGTTAGCCACTGATTTTAGAAGTGTGTTTCTAAAGATATATTATTTTCTGTTAATGTTGTGCTTGTTTTTTCCTTGGGTTGGCCATGTTTGCTAAAGGGTTTTCAGTATTTTCTTGTCAAAATTTTTTAATTTTTCAACAGTTGTGTTCCCTTTTTGAATCTGTTGTTCATTTGGTTTTTGAAATATTGGATGCCAGGTGTGTTTGTATTCTACAGTTGTATTGTAATGTTTATGATTTTGTGGTTGTTTCATAAATTGTTGCATCTACTTTCTCTATAGATGCTTGTATAGTAAGCTATAAAATTGATGGTGAGATCCAAATTTGGTTAATTCTGCTTTGTATATTGTTGCCATTGTGGAAGTAGTATAGCAAATCAGTCACTAACTGATAATAAAATTTGTGAAACAGTGGTATTAAATTTATTTAATGATAGGGCTTTTGATGAGGCATAAGATTTGGCTAAGATAAGTGTTTTTTTTATTAAAAAGTAATTTTTAAACCCTTCTACATTTACTAATTTTTATCGTGTTTGAAAATGAAATCTGCCCAGATTAGCCTATTCTTTCATATTTGTATTTTGAATATGTGTTTTGTTATGTTGTATTTGATTAGCAGTACAACTCTGAACCCCTTTAGTTGGTCACTTGTTTTGCTTTATGTTATCTAGTAGTTTGTGAATTTGATGTATTGTTCTTGTTGTCTAGAGATATTGGTCTTTGTAAGTAATATAATGTCTTTTTTTGATTTTTCAATATATTCTGTTTACAAAAATAGTTTGCTATGATTGAATTTAATATCTCTAATATTGATTATTGTTATGTACTATTCTTGGACTTGAATTGTTTGTTGTAAGTTTTTCTCTTAACATATGGATAGTGTTATTGAATCTTCGGGTAGTTGTGTTGTTTCTATTGTTGTGGTTTTGTTGATTTATGCATCTGTAAGTATTGTTATATAATTGGTATTGGTATTTTGCTCATTGGTACTTGGGTTGAAGTTTGTGTCAGATCAGATAAGGATTGTGTTGATTTGTTAGAAGAGTATTGTAATATTATTTATATTAATAGTTGTTCTACTGTTTTGATGTTTATTAAGTTGTTGATCTCAATTCTTTGTATTGTTGTTATTACTAATGGAGCTTCTTATTTTGATTGTTTGTGATAGTATGCTGGGTTATTGTTTGTACTAGTGAGTTTATTGTAGAGACGATCTGGTTTATTTTGTTTTGCATACTGTTGATTAAGGAAAAAAGTTGTATTTGTATATTCTTGAGATTATTTAGATTGTTTTCTGTCATGTGATATGTGTTTTTTTCTTGTGATGATTCTGTTGTGTCTTGTATATTTGATGGTTTTGTAATATTCTTTATTATAGTATTCCAGGTTAGTTGTGTACTCATCTAAGCTTGAAATTTGGTTTCTGATTGTGTCCAGTTCTTGTTGGATATCTTTGAGAATATTGGCATTATTTGAAAACGTAGTTGATTCTCTTTGTTTAGATCTTGATACTTAGGCAACTGCTTCTGCATATGTTGCTACTCTTGTGTTCTATAGTACTTTGGGATTGTTAATATTTCTTATAGTGTCAGTTTTCTCTGGTTTGAATCTGTTATAGAGTGATTTGAATCTTGAGGCTTGAGTTTGTTATAGCTACCCTATAGTGTTCTTCTTTCTTTTGTTGAACAATTCTTGACTAGATAGGAAGCTATATCACAAATTGCACACAGTTTGGTGATAATAGAAGTGAAGATGATTATAGTTTCTTTCAGGATGTATTGTGTTTCTATAATCTTGAGAAGCTTCTCTTATGTTTCGAAACTAATGATTACAAATTTTTTGGATCTGTATCATCTGTTTGCTGATCTTGGAATATAGCATATATATCTCTAGCTTTGTGTAAGGATATTCTTGAAATCTTATGCTTTTGTGTTGAGTAGGAGATTTGTGAGTTTTGCTGCAATTTCATATCTTTGTTTTATTTGTGTAAGTAACTATTCTACATCATTGATTCTAACTGAGTCTTCTTTGATAAGGGTACTTCTTTCTATTACTAATCTGTTTTTGGATTTTTAGTCTTTGAAAGTGATTATGACACATTGTCACAAGTTTTGGATTTTTATTGTACTGTAATTTCTTAAATTTGTCCATATTTGAAAAAGACTTGTTTCACTTTTAGGAGTTTAATATTTAAGGAGATGTTCCAAATCACTATAGAGTTTCCCTTATTAATCTCTTGGCATCCTGTTTCCATATTCTTCAATCTCTTGTCTCTTATATTGGAAATATTTATGATTGTGGCTTGTTGTACTGCTTGTTGGTCTTCAAAAATGGCAACTATTTTCATTTCTTCATTTTTCTCTTCTATATATATTGTAAAAAGGCCTTCTGGAGAGTTGAGTGCTAAGAGGATATGTTTCAGTTTTTAGTGGATTGTTTTTTCTTTGACTTGACTTGCTAGGATATTCACTTTGAAGTGTTCTCTGTCATATTTTTAGATTCTGTCAAAAGTATTCACTTATATAATATTCGGGTATGTAGGTTTCTTTATTTGAGGCATATGATTTAACTTGGATGGGTTTTCCATTAACTATTGTTTCTCTTGTTCCTCAATCTTATACTTTTACTGATAATCTTTGCTACTGTCCTTTCGCAGCTCTTGGATTATTCTTTTTTTAAGCTAGTGGTACTAAATGAGATAAGTTTATTAATCGGAAATTCTCTTTTTTGACATCATTGATCACACTACTAATTTAGCAATTTTTAATTAATAGTTTTACTATGGAGTATAATACTTTTAGATGTTCTGTTTTTCTTGTTTAATTTTCGATTCGACTTTTCTTTTTTACATAAGTACATTGTTCTTTTATAACTTAATGCTATACTAAAATAGACTATCGCTAATGTCATGAATTTAGACTTTAAGCTTACTAATAGACTATCATATAAACTATTTCATTTTCAACATGTTATTTCTGAGTTTTAGACACATGACACGTGAATTGCGTTATGTGTCAATCTCTTATTATATCTTTCCCATATATAGAAGATACAAGTATTAATTTGTCTGAACATATTTTGAATATTCCCAATATTATTCTTGACAATCTCCTTATTAATTACTTATTTAGTAATAATCTATTATCTTAAATATTATGGAAACTATATAAAATGTGTTTGTTTATTTAAAAGCTAACAACAATAGTTAAGTTCTTCAAGTAAAATCATTCTTTGAAAATGAAACTCAATATTCTTTGATCTGGTTTTTTGCCTTTACTAAAGCAAGTCAAATAAATAAATGGAAACAAATGAAAAAAATACAAATACTAGCAACCCATTTTCAAGATAAAGTTGAAGACTAATGAATTGAATATGTTATTAATAATGGAACTGACTATATTAGAAATTCTATAAGGCAGGAGATCTTAAAACAGCATTCAATAAAAAGTTTTGTATTTAACAATAACAAAACAGATGGCTTAAAATCTTCAAAAGTATTATATGTTATACAAAAAGCAATATTATAAAAAAAATATTGACTAAAGGCCAAACAAGTTTGGGAGTCTTGTTTGTTCTTTGGTTGCATGGGGAAAGGCCCGTGGCAGTCCTCTTTCTTAA